AATCTGAAACATCCAAAACAGGCCCCTCTTTTAATTAATATATTTTTCTTAGCTTCTAATGTCATATTTCTAGCAGAAAAACATTCTTTAGTTGGGTGCCGTTTTTCACAAAAGAGACAGTTAAAATTGCGCTTACCTGGGCTCTCAGAATTTGATGTACTTACTAACGCAGCTGCGGTGGCGAAATCTAAATTTTTATTTAGTGTATCCTTTTTCTTAGAAATATGATTAGAACCAAACCCAGTGCGGGCTAACACGACCATCTCTTCTCCTTTCACTTCTTGTTTCAGAAAATTCATCAAATTTTCAAGGCATCGGTCATCAGGCTGAGGTGCTTCTTTTAAATTTCTGTTTCTCTCCCAAGCAATTAATACTTCTTCGGGCAGGCAGGATTCAACTAAAGGCGTTAAGAAATCACCATACTTCTCTTGCGTTCTTCCAAGACTTTCTAAAGCTCTAATCTTGGTTTCTAAATCATCGTAGAGAGTGGGAAGATCCGTCTTCACACGTCCACTGCTTGCATTACGCATAACCATGCTTAGAAGATCTCTGACGTATATCTGTACAAGTAAGTCTTCTCTTCCAAACCTCTCTCGAAGCTGGGCGATTGCTTTCGGATAATTCGACGCCGTTGCCGGAAAGCTCTCCACTACCCGTGCGGCTTTGGACTGAGGAGGAACTGCTTGCAGGAGGTTTCTGGAATTTCATCTGGAATCGATCTTCATGGATCTTCGAAAACTGGCTCCAAAACGTCAAAAAATTCTTTTGCTTTCTTTAGTTCGATCTTCGGCAGTTTAAATTTGCGCTTCTCTGGTAATTCAGTAGGTAAAGGATTCTTCGACAGCTTTTCGATTTGAGAACACAGTTCAAAAATATTATCTCTATAAGGCTCAGACGAAATAAAATCTTCTTCATATAGCTTTTCAGCTTCTTTAGATTGTAGAATTAGCGACGTTACTTCCTTTTGGCAAATAAAGACACATAAAGACAAGTTAAAAGAATATGAAATATTTATCTAGCTACAATATCTATCTAGCCACATCATGCAAACATCGTTCTTAGCTAACTAAACCGGAACTGTTCGTTTTCCTCTGGCGTCCCATGACGTCAGTCTCTATCTGGCTTTTGATTCGTTGGCTTAGTGATGCCATTCCCAACAATATCAATTAGCCAAATTCAATACAGTACAAAGTCTTTAATCCGGACCTCAAAGCTACAAACTTTCTGTGCACGCGCATAATACATTCACCATGCCCATTTAATGTATAACGGACGGTATAAGCTAGGCTAAAATTATCGGCTAATCTTTGGAATATGGTAACAGGTAGTTTGGCGACATTTTGGTAAGGCAATAAAGGTTACTAGCTAGGACTTTAGCAGTGTACATGGGTAAAGTCAAGAGTGTGCGCAATGCCATTTTTGTGCAATTCTGGGATTTTTCTTAAGTGAAAATAGGTCGACATGTACATGGTTACCGTGTATGTGGAATTCTTAAACACGCGCCAAGCAGTTTGCGATTCTGCACTTTCTCCCAATTTCGCGCATCATGATTAAGTACGTTTGTTCATAAAATTTCTAGCGTAAGCATAATTCGGCTAGCAGATTGTCGGAAAAAAAATGTTGAGTAAAAAAAAAAAATTGCCTTTACTTTGTGAAAACAAAATGGCGTCCAAACAAAAACTAGCAGGTTGCTGTAGCAGGGTTGGTCGCCAAATTTTCGCCGAGTTACCATAATCCACAGATTAACCTAATTATCTACTTCAGTTAATGTTGCAGATTGCATTGTTCCTTAATCTTCCAATTGGATCCAGCTTATTATATTTTGCAGACTGTTAGAACAATTTTATAAAAAGTAAGCTTGAACTTTCGATTATGTCAAAAAGATTTTCCAATTCTAGAGCTGCCAAAGGATCTACAAAGTGAAAGCATGTTTCGATGTACCACTTCCAATAGTGAAGAAAGTGATAGAGAGGTTATTAAAAATGAAAAAATTTCGATTGACAATTTAGTCGGTATTCTCGACACAGTAATTACAGGACTTGAACAGTGGAACTTTGTAACTGAACAAGAAATTATGTCTGTTTATAGAATTAAAAAGAAAGTATAAGCACATAAAATGAAGCAACTTAAACAACTTACATTGAAAGAAATGTTTAATAACGTAAACAAATAAATATTAAGCTTTTTTTTTTTTTTTTTTTTTGTAAATTTTGACACCCTATAGATCATTATTGCTTTTATTTCATAAATTACGGTTTCATAGTTTTAACTGTATAATTTCTGCCTGCCATCTTACCAGACTTAAATTGATGATCTATAATCTAGAAAAACTACTAATCCGGAATCACCAAAGTCCCGATGAGTTCGGATCACGGACTTTGTACTGTATAATTTTATGGCTAAAGCAATAAATAGTTATCAAACAACAATAAATATCTATTATACTCAATTACTTATCATATTGCCTAATTTTTATTTGTATACTATCATTATGTTTAATTATAACTACAATTATAGTTATCATTACATTATTATTATCCCTGATAATAATATACTACTGTAAAATTTTATATTATCATTATAATTAATGATAAAATAATATAATTGTAATAATTATACTATAAAAAGAATACTTATATCAAAGAATATACTTCTATTATTTGTAGTGGTCTTATTAAAGTAAGCAATGTACATTTAAAACTTGTATAAATTATGAAAATTTTGTTTTATTCTTTTCCTGGGATCTGGCTTATTATTTTTTGCAGACTGTTATAGCAATTTTATAAAAGTCAGCTTGAACTTTCGATTATGTCAAAAAGGTTTTCTGATTCTGAAGCTGCCAAAGGATCTACAAAGCAAAAGCGTGTTTCGATGTCCCTCAAACAAAAAGTGGAATTGCTGCAAAAAATGGATAAAGGCATGAAGAAATAATATAATCTGGAAAAACCCCTATTCTGGAATCGCCAAAGTCCCGACGAGTGACTTTGTACTGTACATTAAACAACTTCTAGCCAAGTATGATATGCAAGAATGTAAGCATATGTCAACACTGCAAACCTGAACATAAAATATTTTTAATTTTCCAAATGTCTCAAAAATGAAAAAGCAGACAAAAAAAAAAAAAAAAAAAAAAAAAAAAAACACAATATCAGTCCTTAATTGAATCTTCGATTTATTTAGCAGTATCTAAACAAGGTGACATTGCAAATTAGGTTAGCAGACTGTTAGTCAATTTAGCCCTAATACAAAACACTTTCTTAGCATCCATACAAAGTGTATCTTAAATCTAATTTAAACATAGAAATAACTAATTGAAGAACAAATGAAAGCCTTAAATGTTATGTAAATGCAGGTTCAGTTGAAAATACTCAACAATAAATCTTTTAGATGTTTTAGTTTGACCTCAACAGGTTGTCTGACTTTCTGCAAATTGCTCAAACAAAGAATTACAGCACTATCAAGCAGTGAGGCAGATTACATAGCAATAACCAAAGCTTCCAAAAAAGCTATGCACTGACTGGTGAGATAACTCGATATTTTAGAAAAGGTAACTAGAAAAGGACTAATTGTGTTTTGGAATGATAAAGAACTCAGCATTTTTGAAAAGCCTAGTTCATTCTAGAATCAAACACATTGACACTTGTTTTCATTTTATTAGAAAGCTACACAAGAAAGAAGAAATCTGCAAGTATGTTAAATATATAACCATCAATGTTTTAACAAAGAACCTTGGCAGGAACAAATACATGAAATGTATCAATATTTTATATGTTGAGAGTTTTAACTAATGAATGTTCTATTTTATTCTCTTTTAACTCTTTGAAAACCATAATGGCCCAAATGGCCTTTCGTTCAAACAACCACACAAATGGCCGCAATTCTGATATTGTTTTCTTCCCTCCCCTAAGGTACGCGGTAGCAGTTTCCCCAAATGCATTGTATCAGTTTATTGCAGACAGCTTGCCCTAAAAGGATTTATTTGTGGTTTCTTCTCTTTATGAGATGTAGAACGGATGTCATTTGAAATCTTTATTCGGTTAATCTTCGGATTATGGTAACTTGGCGATTTTTTGGCGAAAATTTCGCAACAAACCCTGCTACAGCAATCTGCTAGTTTTGTTTTGGACGTCATTTTGTTTTCACGAAGTAAAGGCACTTTTTTTTTTTTTTTACTCAACATTTTTTCCAACAATCTGCTAGCCGAATTACGCTTATGCTACAACTTTTATGGAACAAAAGTGCTTAATCATGACGAAGATTAGGTGCGAAATTGGGAGAAAGTGCAGAATCGCCCACTGCTTGCCGCGTTTTTAAGAATTGCACATACACGGTATCATCCATGTACACGTCGACCTATTTTCACTTAAAAAAACATCCCAGAATTGCACAAAAATGGCATTGTAGACACTCTCTACTTTATACATTTACACTGCTAAAGTCCTAGCTAGTAACCTTTATCGCTTTACCAAAATGTCGCCAAACTACCTGTTACCATATTCCAAAGATTAGCCCTTTATTCTTCTTTGTGCATTAATGGATGGGGAGGGGAGGAAATTGCTGCGACTCTCGAAAACCATTTCGAGTGGTTCGGTATTTTAACACACATGTTAGCGAAGGCTTCGGTTTTCAAAGAGATAAGTGCTGCAAGGAAGAGTGCCAGAAATTTGTATTGCTTTTACATCTGCATAGTACTGAAATTGGATAAGTAATGAACATGCATTTAAACTAGATAAGAATCCAGGCTCTTGTAGGTCATTAGAAATTAATAATCAAGATAATAGAAAATTTAACAAATCATACATAATTAATCAATAAACAGTTATTGTTTAGGTAATGTATATACGTAAAAGTTCATTTCTTATTTCTCATTTAACAGACAAATTTAAAATATCACAGTATTAAAAACTAAAGTGAAAAGTGCAAGGAATAATTTTGGCTTTTACAATACCAAGTAACATAAGTCATGAAACTGAAATAATATAATAATAAGATTAATTTACCAATCTTTTGGTCTTGTGCACGACCGGACGTGATAACGAAGTGTGGATGTGGAATGCTTCTGTGCATCATACATAAACAATGCAGAACACTTAAAGCACCCTACAAAAACTTTACAAATCAGCATTTTCTCTTCATTTTCACCAAGCCTTGTGTAAAACGGTATCTTCAACTGTTCTGCTTCTCTTTCACTAATAAGCAAATGCACATCTCCAAACCAATTCCAAACTTCACTTTTGAATGGCTTGTTACCTTTGGTACTATTAACAACCTTTTTAACTACAACAGCTTTATTTTGAGCAACTAAATTCTGCATTATTGCCTTTAACTTTCGAGTATCAGGATTAAAGTATTTAAAGCCATCTTCTGTACTAGTGTCATCAATGTCAGTTATGATTGGTTCCAGAGGAGGTTCAGTACTTCCTCTTTCAGTCAGACAGATCATGACACTTTCTGTTGTTTCGTAGCTATTGTTAAAAAAAAAAAAAAAAAAAAAAACTTTACATCACAGCACATTTATTAAACAATTTTACATTTCTAATAAATCTATTATAAATGCTTAGTTCTACAGACTAAAAGTTGGAAGGAAACACTGAGAGTTTTACGATCAAGATTTATGAATACTTGCATATAACTACTTTAGCCACTAAATTTTCAGAATATGCCATACTTTGGCAACAATATGTATAATAATTTGTTTGGCAAGCAAGCGCCAACAAATTATCAGTTTTTAAAATGCAACATTGCCATTTTTGTGTGCATTATTTTCGTGTACCATAATAATAAGTTCTAATAATTTTCATAAAAAATTGTGATTTCTCTGCAGCTGAAGAAATTACAGTTAAATATTTGTAGGAATATGTATTCTGCCACAAAGTTAATAAAGAGCTAGGCTATTTGAATATGGTAAAGCCACAAGGGCTATCCATCTCAGAAAAGGGATGCTTTTATGTAGTACTTTCTAAGAGAAACTGGTTTGCATTTACATTACACATGGCGAAAACCAATCATGCAACCAGCCATCTGCCTGGGTTTGAACACAAGCCAGATCAATCTACCAGCATTCAGTAGTCTTAATCACTCAGACACTCGGCAGTCAATTACTAAAAGGACTGCCCTGCCAGTGGCAGAGTAGTTAAGATACTGGACCCGGGTTCAAATGCAGACGAATAGGATAGCTCTATGAAACAAAGTTTTTCCTATGTGTAATATGAATATGGGCCAGTTTTCCTTAGTCCTCCAGAGAATCACTCCCTTTAGGCAGATAGCTATTATGCATTTTGCCATAATCAAATAACCTATTTACAACAAAAGTTCTGAAGGCAATGTTTATAAGCCAATTTCAAACTGTGGCTTGAGTTACCAAAAATTTATATTCCTTCTAATGCACTGTATTACAGGATAAGGCAATAATGTCTTTCTGTAGTTTTATTGAAAAACACAACAATAACAATATATCGTACATTAATTACAACCTTAAAATCTTGACAATTGACACAAATGTGACTTGGTGCCAGTAACTTAAAAACTCCCACTCACATGGATTTCTCCCACACCACAGCATTCAAATTTGATGCGCAAACAGGAACAGGAAGCTTTAACTGTCACAAAGGTTCAAGTGCTTCATGATTATGAGTGCCTCTACTTATTCACTCTAACTAAGGAGCTAACTTCATATCTGTCCTGTTTAAAGTCCACATCTGTCCTATGAAGCTTTCTCGGTATGAAAAAAGATCCAATCCCCTCTTTTATATTTGCATAGCAGAGAGATTTAATCAAACAATATTGAAACACCTCTTCCTATTCATATCCTGGAGCCAGAAGGATTGGACCAAAAACTATCATTATTCCTGCTAGCGTATAGGAGTGCTGCACACAACAGCAGTGGACCTCTTCACTGCAAATGAATTTTGGTCATAATCTTCATTTGCTGTATGTCCTGCTCTTCAGAGACTTCCACACATGTTATCTTCACCTCAGCAGCACCTGCAGCCATGTTTAGATATTCATCAGTTTGTCAGGAAAAAGATCAAGACAATGTCCAAAAAGGCCAAGGTGAAATATTATGCTAAACTGATAGAGAAGGAATTCAAGAAAAGGATTGAGTTTGGCTGTGTAAACTTAAGCATTATCTAAGGATCTTGCTCAAGCTGCAGATAGCATGGGAAAGGTCTTTTCCATATGATTAAGAAATTGAATGGCATTGTGGTTTGTACCAAAAGAACTTCTATATCTAAAGTAGAGCCAACAGCAGACTTTCATCTTGTTTTGGCAATGATGTTTAATTGAGGAGGGTCTTGGGGATTGCAGCAACTGGACATGCAGTCTTTGAAGAAAGACGGCATTGTAAATATTTATTTCCTTAAGGTTGCACTGTTGTTTTGATATTTTATATTTACTTTATTTTCATCCTGGTTAATAATTTTAGGATTTATTTTGTGTGTGATAGAATTGGTACCTATATGTTTTGTACATAAACGTTTTTACGCAGAGGATGGTAGATTTTTTGATTTTGAACACAACTATTTTTAAGTTGTTAAAATAGTTCAACTAAAATGCAAAATGAAAGCAAAAATGCAATGCTTTTGATAGGCCTTGATGATACGAGGCGTATTCGGAAACTAAGTACCGTTTTTTAAAAAAAAAATAGTAAAACAATTTTTTTTGAATCCAATTTTATTTTTACATGAAAATACATGTCTTAAACTATACTTCAACATAGTTTCTGCCAATGATCAAACACTTGTCATAGCGGGTGACCAGTTTTTGTATACCATCGTCAAAGAAACTTCCCGCCAGTTTCGATAACCACGACTCCACAGCATTTTCGTGTCATCGTCAGATCCAAAGCGCTTGCCACAAAGCTCGCGCTTCATGTGCAGGAACAAGTGATAGTCGGACGGCGCCAAGTCCGGGCTGTACGGCGGGTGATCGAACTGCTCCCAATGAAACTATCTAACGACTGAGTGACACCAGCAGTATGGGGCCGAGCATTGTCAATTCCTTTACTGAGCATTCCTTTTCGTTTGTTTTGGATGGCACACCTTAGTTTTGTTAAAGTCTCACAATATCGTGCCGCATTAATGGTTTCACCTCTGGGAAGAAATTCAGTAAGCAAAATGCCTTTCCTATCCCAGAAGACAGTACACATGATTTTTTGTGATGACATTGTCACTTTGAACTTTTGTTTTTTCGGAGAATGAGTGTGTCTCCACTCCATCGATTGTTGTTTCGATTCTGGTGTGAAATGACACACCCAAGTTTCATCACCTGTCACAATTTGGTTTAAAACATTTTCTCCCTCATCACTGTACCACATGAGAAGTGTCAGGGCACTACTAAGTAGCTTTGTTTTGTGAACATCAGTGAGCATTTTTGGAACACATCGGGAACACTGCGATAATTCAAGCGGTCAGACACAATTTCGAACAAAAGTACGTGACATTTGTGGAAATGTCTCTGAAAGAGTTGTCATTGTGAAGCGTCTGTTCTCATGAATTGCTTCATCAACTTTCCTTACCACATCATCGGTGGCAACAGAAGACCAACCACTCCGAGCCTCGGCGTGGACATTTGTTCGACCTGCATTAAACATTCTTACCCACTTTCTCACCATTCCATCACTTATCGTGTATTCACCACTGTCACTTTACGATAAATTTCGGCCGGTTTAACATTCCTTGCGTTCAAAAATTTAATCACAGCACAAATCTCACAGTCAGCGGGGTGCACAGCAAACTGAAAACAGAACATAGAGCAATCAAAATGGCGACAATTGAAAGTCAGTGAACAAAAGACTAGTGCGCATGCACGGGATGCCTACCACAGTGCTGCGATGGCGCTAGAATGAAACGGTACTTAGTTTCCGAATACGCTACATATATGGCAATGTCTCCACTACATGGACATTTCTGGAAATTTCAGGAAAATGCGTTTTTGAAATCCAAGGACCAATCTCTCCCAAGTTCCCAGAAGTCCAAGCAACACCATATAAATACGGCTTTGACAGCTAGGATGGGTCAGCTGTTAATCAACTGTGAGAATTTGTCTGGGATATGTGAACTGGCTCAAAGAGTCAGCAGAAATGCATTTTAGAGTTTACACAGTGAGCGATTTTGGAAATTAATAATATTTCTCATGTGCTAAGATGGAATTACTTAATACTTGCATTTTAATTGAGCTCTTTATAGCTACACATTACTTATTGTCAATTTCTTCCTGCTCATATGAAGTGATTATTTACAGAGAAAGCCACAAGCCTATAGCTCATAACAAGCAGAGATTTACTGAATTATGAATAAAAAGAAATTGCATCAATTGTAATACAAGAAATAAGTTTTCAATTACATAGCTCTTGCTATAAAATTTACGTATTTTCCAAGTATCTGTATGCGCCCTAATTTTAACATTTTGTAGAAAGACAATTTCTGCTCTGGTTGAAACATATCTTTAGAATATTTATTTTAATAAAATAAAACAATAATCTTGTGCTTTTATTTTGTGATTAAATTATTCATTATGCTTTTAATCAAGTTTATCATCTTTAAATAATTTTTATAAAAACCGAGTCAGAAGTATAAAGAGCAAAAATTATATGAAATGCACAATGGAATTGCAATTTAAATTTTTTTAGTTCTTACAATTTTTTGTCTGACCTTGGCAAAACTGCATTTTTGGAAAAACTGAATCATTCTGATCACCAGATCTCAAAGCTTTAAGAAAGGCTCTGAGGTTTCTTGAAAGATCGTGATTATCAAAAATATGAATCTAAGGATTAAACTACTGCAACACATTTCCAAAGTTTTCCCTGAAATGCTGCATGTGGTAATTGATAACATGATCTCATAACTCCATATACAGTCAAAAGTCTTTAATCTGGACTCGTTGGGACTTCGGCGATTCTGGATTATCGGTTTTTCTGGATTATAGATCATCGGTTTAAATCTGGTAAAATGGCATGCATAAATTATAAAATTAAAAATATAAAACCGTAATTTATGAAATAAAGAGCAATTATGATCTAAAGGGTATCAAAATTTACAAAAAAATCTTAATATTTATTTGTTTACTTTATTAAACATTTCTTTCAACCCGCGCATGCGTAAAGCATACATTATGCATAGAAATTAGAAAATTGCAACCAGAAAACTATTTGATGTGTATTCGTGATATTTATAATGACGAGGAATTTGATTTAAATCATATCAAAGAGGGAGCAAATCGAGATGAAATACTACATTTAATAAGGAATTATAAGCCGATTAAAATAAAAACATCTGCCATGAAGATGAGGATAGTGCTGAGAGATCAATTTCCAGTTCATTGCACGCCGTGACGTCCCCCCCCCCCCCCGCAGAGCAGCTTGAAATTGATAAACAGATTTTGGAATGGTTAGAGAAACAAAGGATATGCCTTTATCCATTTTTTGCAGCAATTCCACTTTTTGTTTGATGGACATCGAAACATGCTTTCCCTTTGTAGATTCTTTGCAGCTCCAGTATCGGAAATTTTTTTTGACATAATCGAAAGTTCCAACTTACTTTTATTAAATTGCTCTAATAGTCTAAAAGAAAATAATAAGCCGTATCCAATTAGAAGATTAAGGAACAACACAATCTGCAACATTAACTGAAATAGATAATTTTAGCTTAGCTTATACCGTCCGTTATACATTAAACGCGCATGCGTAAACTTATTATGTGCATGTGCATAATGCGTTTACGCATGTGCAGAAAGTTTGTAGCTTCGAGGTCCAGATTAATGACTTTTGACTGTAATAAGGATTTATCATTTAGGATATAGCTTTATATGTTTAATTTTGTAAAAAAGCTCTGCGATTGGATCCTAGCAGAGCCCACACTCTTGGCGCACCCACTTACATAGCGCGTATCGACGTGTACATGGACAAAGTCAAGGGAATGCGCAATGCCAAGTTTGTGAAATTTTTTTACTTATTTTCAAGTTGGAGATTCTGAGAAACGCGTGAAGCAGTGGGTGATTCTGCACTTTTTTTGTGTTTGTCGCTATGGGCTCTCCTAGGATTTTACCAGTTCCTCTTATATACTTTACATAGTTACATAAAAGAATCACTTTTCACTACATATTTCCTTTGGAAATAAAAATCTGAAGTGTTTTCCCCCTTCAAAAATCTTTTCATGATTTGAAAAGCAGATATACTGAATTTCATTTGAACTAGTTTGTTAGAACACTTCCTAAAACTTTTGAGTACTGTTAGTTTGATTATAATCACCCTGCTCTTATTTTCGAAGGTGTACTGGGGTATTTACGAACATTTTTATTCCAAATGTTGTTTAACAAATTCTGTACTCACAGATATTTGATACATTAAAATTACAAAATTATGTGTAGTAAGGTATCATATAATAATGTAAAAACCACAATGTCACTGCTAGCGATGTTTATAAACCTATTTTTAAATAACATAATGTAACTGCGTACGGTAACATTATTATACAAATACTGAATATACAATTAAATTGGAGGTACAATAATAAAAGAGTATAAAATTTTTTCTGAATTAAAATTACGTCAAGTTACAATTATCTCTATAGTCAACAAATATACCTTTCCGGTTCATGACAGTTAATTGTTTCTAAAGCATCTACGAATGCCGCAACATCCGCGGAACAAACATATGATGTAGAACCTGTAGCTTCCATGATTCTGATTAGTAATTACAGAAATAAATTCATTCACACAATCATAACAACAAACTACTACTAACAGAAGACACGGACTAGTACGGAGTTTTTCCTTTCTTTTCCCATTAACGTGTTGCCATATAGAATAATTTTACTTTGAAAACACATAAACATTCAATGAAATGACACGGCATTTTAAATAACGTCTTTGAAGGTAAGCTCAATGTTCAATGTATATTTATTTTATGAAACAACGAGATGCTTTTCTTTTAGTAGGCATATATTTTCAATGAAATAAATGGACACAAATCGATTTCATCATTACATGTAAAAAAACTGTAAAGCAGCTCATATTATGCTCAACTTAGTAAGGGCATAATGTAGAGTTTTTAATTCTGTGTATATTTAAAAAGGCGAACTGTCTGAAAAATTCTTGAAAAAAGTATAGTGAATAATGTTCGCTCGAGCTTTATGAAATATGGAGGGTCAGCATGTGTTTGTTTGTTCCTCGGATGTAGCTGCATTTGTTGATGCTTTGGAAACAATCGGCTACCCATCTGATACTCAAAGGTATCACACGAATTTTCGTGTTATTTTAAAATGTATATAATTAGCGGTATTAGCATTTCTAAGTAGCAGATACGGTCTACTCAGATTCTTTTGTTTGTGAACCAAGTTAGATAAGAAAATAATGCAAGGTCATTCATAAAAAAAGAGTGCATTTTTAAAAAAAGAGTTAGTTAATTTGGAAACTTGCATATAAACTGTCTTATGTTTTCAGAGCGCATTGCATTTGTTTTGTAGCACTCATGCTGTTATATTAAAGGGAGTTATCAATTTGTTTTGGAATTCGTGTGCAGAAATTTAAACTCTATTCAGGGCTGTTAATTTCTCAGAAAAGTTAGCACAAATAACTGAGGTTTTTAGAAAATGAAAATTAAAGAAAAAATTCCACAAAGTATATCTGTGAATGCAAGAGTATGTGTAACAATTACATACAAAATGAAAACAATAAACTAAGGTTAGTTTGAAAGTCAAAGTTTTGTTCATATATGCAATAAAATTAATTTATATATTTTTGTGTACGTTTTGTTTTAAAAATGTATATAGTAATTGAAGAGCTATAATCTTGTTGGTACTTTTCTGTTTCGCCAGCGCAAATCTCGCCAAGCAGACTTTATTGGCGACACCGTACATAAAAAATGTACACATAACAAATGTTAGTTCTAAGAATTTTTATTTTGAAGGCATAAACATTTTAATAGCGTTTTAAAATTTTGTAAAACGCCAATAAATAAAGACAATAAACTTGTAAAAAGACATTAATTTAAGAATTCACTATATACTTTCATGGTTTAACATCCTGATTCGCCAGTTCGTATCACGTGACCTCAAGAGATCTCATCTCATGTAAACTATGCTACAAAAATCTAATTCTCTCAGTAATTATCTACATTAATTTCATGTTAAATCTTAGTTTGGAATACAGTCAAAAGTCTTTAATCCGGACTCGTCGGGAATTCAGCGATTCCGGATTATAGATCATCAGTTGAAATCTGGTAAGATGGCACGCAGAAAATATAAAATTAAAAATATGAAACCGTAATTTATGAAATAAAGAGCAATTATGATCTAAAGGGTATCAAAATTTACAAAAAAAAAAAAAAAAAAAAAAAGCTTAATATTTATTTGTTTACTTTATTAAACATTTCTTTCAATGTAAGTTGTTTAAGTGTCTTCGTTTTATGTGCTAATACTTTCTCTTTAATTCTATAAACAGACATAATTTCTTGTTCAGTTACAAAGTTCCGCTGTTCAAGTCCTATAATTGCAATGTCGAGAATACCGACTAATTTGTCAATCAAAATTTTTCTTCGTTTTCAATAACCTCTCTGTCTCTTTCTTCACTATCGGAAGCGGTACATCGAAACTTGCTTTCGCTTTGTAGATGCTTTGGCAGCTCCAGAATCGGAAACTCTTTTTGACATAATCGAAAGTTCAAGCTTACTTTGTATAAAATTGCTCTAACAGTCTGCAAAAAATAATAAGCCAGATCCAATTAGAAGATTAAGAAACAACACAATTTGCAATATTAACTGAAATAGATAATTAGCTAATTTTAGCCTAGCTTATACTGTCCGTTATGCAAAAAACGTGCATGCGTTAACGTATTATGCGCATGAATGCGTTTACGCATGCGCATAAAGTTTGTAGCTTTGAGGTCCGGATTAAAGACTTTTGACTGTACAAGTTTAAATGCAAGAATTGTTTCAATTCATACGAATAGCTTACTCAGAAATTATGTAAAACTGCAGTGTTTTACTTCGCTGGTGCATTCTATTAGAATTGATGAATTTAACCCTTGACTTTGCCTTTGGTGAGCGGTGTGATTGCTTCCTAATTGACTTAATTACCGCGATGGTCTTAGGGCATAAAATTGAACTATCTGATAAAAATTCTATGTAATTATATGCCAGTATTGAGAAAAACAATCAATCTGATAAGAAATGGCTGCGACTTGTTTTGAAAATGAGGCGTAAAAGTTTACCTGTGAGAATATTCCGTTTGGCATCAGTTGTACCATTATTGGCGACTTTATCGCCTGCGCCGGCAAAACGGAAAAGTACCATCTTGTTCTTCATTAATTTAATAAAAGAGATTTGGTTCATTTTTTTTAGACAATGATACAGGTTTTCGTCAAAAAGAGCGGTACTTATGTATTAACGCAACCAGGCCAAAATTTGCATAAATCAACAAATTTGGCAACCCTACGTGTTATAAAGTATGTAGTTTTTCGTAAAGAAATTACTTTTCTTACTGGTTAGATTGAATGCCTTGAAATACTTTAACTATGGGTATTTGGGATCTGCCTGCGAGTGAAAAAGATGCTGTTAAATTGTTGCAGGGATATGGAATTATACCGAACGAACATACTTGTAAAAATTCTCATAAAATGAAACTGTATTTTGGTAAGCAAATCTTCTGGAAATGTAACATCGAAGAGTGCAATCAACATTTGGGTGTGAGAACCGGAAATTGGTTTGAAGGTAGCCGAATTTCATTTGTGACAGCGGTGCGCTTCATTTATTGTTGTACATTATGGTAACTTGGTGATTTTTTGGCGAAAATTTGGCAACCAACTCTCCTACAGCAACCCTCTATTTTTTTTTTTCCCGCCACCATTTTGTCTTCACGAAGTAAAGACATGTTTCTTTTCTTTTTATCTACTGAACACTTCTTCCAACAATCTACTAGCCGAATTACACTTATGCTAGAAATTTTATCTAACAAAACTGCTTAATCATGACAAATATTCACTGCAAAATTGGAAAAAGTGCACAATACCATACTCCTTACGCGTTTTTCAAAATAGCACATACACATAAACCATGTACACGTCGACTTACTTTTACTTAAAAAAAATCCCAGAATTACAAAAATGGCATTGCGCACACTCTTCACTATATCCATGTACACTGCTTTTTTCTCATAAATTAGAAAAATTTCACAAAAATACATGACAATTTTCTGAATCTTTAAACCCGGTAAAAAGAACATATATGAAATTACCTGATCACGAAAAAGTATATACCCTTTCCAAATATGAACATTTCCACGTATAAAATAAATAAAATATCCAAAAACTTTTACCTCTAAATTATCTATTATAAACGTCACCAACGAATTCATACCTCAAACATTACAAATGGTTACAAATACTTAGTGTCAAATATTTAAATTATTTCCATGCACCTTTACTTCCACTGAAACGCATACCAAATTCCTACAAACATATAATTCACAAAATAACTATCATTTAATTAAAATATAATTAAATTCAAAAACACTACTTAAATATAAATAAGCACATGCATTAAATTAATAAAAATTAGCTTACAATCCTAATTACTTTAAACTAAATCATTGCTAATAACAATTTTCCAATAATACCATAAAAATAATATCCTCAAATAAAATTAAAAATACTAACTTACCTAATCTTCTTCAGGATCTTGATTACGTGGGCGATAAACTTTTCTTATATTTCTTCCGCTAAATAAAAAGCAAGCGTATGTGCGCCTGTTTCAAGATCTTTAAAATCATACTTATAGTTGTTCACAGCAAGGTACCAGGTAAAATAAATAACTTAATAAAACATCTGTACTTCTATATCGCACAACCTTAAAAAAACACTTGTTACTACTCCTTTCAATTCCACTAAATACCCATTTCGAATTCACTTTAGTTAGGGCCATGGGATCCAAAAATTAACCAACACTGTTTCACACAACACAGAATAAAGCTAAATACAAAATTTCCAGATTTCCCCCCTTTTCCGATTAAAGAACCGTAATTCGTCCATTAATATTACATGACATATCCCATGATTTCTCATTTCCCTCACACAAAATAATGCGTAACCGGAACTGAGTACTGCTCACATTGTTACCAAAGTCCCAGGTAGTAACCTTTATCGCCTCCAAAAATGTCGCCAAACTACCAGTTACCATATTCTAAAGATCAGCCGTTAACCTCAATTAAATTTTGTGCAGAGGAGATGGGAATTGCTGACAAAACTGTTATATATTGGAATAATTACATGCGGGAGATATGTGCCCTTGAAATGGATGAAAAAGAAAGAAAGCAAATAGGCGGCAAAGGAATAATTCTGCACTTATTCAAATTCGAAACTGGAAGGGTTTAACTGCTATTTTATATTTTAAAACAAAATAATATAAAAAACTGTATTAAAAATTATCTGTAATTAATAAATGTACATTTTCTTTCTATTCATACTTTTTTACTCAAACTTACAAATCGTACCAACCTGGTTGCGATAATACGTAAGTACCAAAAGAGCAAGATTATTTCATGCAAAGGAGAGGGCTGGATTTAGACTTGATGAGACCCTAAACTGTTTGAGATACGAGGCTCTTTATAAAGGATATCGTATAATTTTTGGGAGTGTGGGGGCCCTAAGCTGTGTGCCCACAAGAGTGTGGGGGCCCTAAGCTATGCACCATTGCAAAGGAGGGGGAGGACTGGTATAACTCAGAATTTTGTACTTGTGATAGGTGTTTATTATGATACATTTAAGGAAAAGGGATGACTTCTGATCAATCATCATTTGGAGATAGTGTATGTTAGTGTATTTTAGAGAAATTTTGTTCTACAGTATTCCCAAGTGAAAATTATTAAAGCTATGAGTTGACGTGAACATAAATGAATAAAAGACTTTCTTCATTCAATAAACAAGCTGCTGCATGTGTAGTAAAACCTCAAGAAATGTTAAATTCTGGATATGTGAAAATTCCAGGTAGGAAAGCATATAAAAATGGAATTCACATTAAAAAAACCAAATCAATAGGAAAAATTTCTGCTTTAAAATTATAAAAACAGTCATCTGATTTGTTACCAATTTAATAATTAAAAGCTTACATTTAAATTTATATGAGATTTCGAACAAAAAAGTACATTTGAACTTCTTATTGTTAAGATTTAAATTATTCGTGAGTAAATAAATGACATAGTTCAGGCTGAACAATCAAATATATATTGAGAATATTTAGGTTACATGAAAGCAAGCAACCGCAGCAATCCACACCAGATAGGGACTAAAACGACAACACCACTGTTGCCAAACTATAATGTAAATATTGGGATTGGCACATGTATATATTTTTAACACACCCCTTTGCCAGTCACACTATGAGCAAGATATTTACATACTCCCATCAAAAATTAATCACAGAATGGTTGTACACATTAACAGAAGAACAATATAGCTGCTATTACATGTGTAAACACTATTGACCTCTACTTATGAATTGTACCATTAAATGAACATATATGAAGTTGTACTAGGAAACACAATGTTTACATAGAAATAATTAAGAAAAATTTGTACTTGGGCTTCTTTCTGGAGTTTTAAGTCAAGTCTCTACACTTACAACCATAATGGTTTATGTTCAGTCATAAACTTCAAAGGAGATCATTTTTACATGCAAGTCCCAGCATAGT